ATGGCAACTCAATGACGAGATGACCAGACGTGAGAGCCAGGCGATCCACGTGTCAGCGTCGGCGCGGCACCAGCTGCAAAACTTCGCCAGCGAACGCGGGTCCATGTCCGCAGCGTGGACGAGGCCAGGCCTTGCCCAACGCGACGGTTGCGAAGCTTCGACCAACTGGAAGGAGGATGTCCAGCCGTTCGGTTCAAGCAACCATGCGGACCCACAGCTGCCGCGAAGTGGTGCACCGTGTGGCGGACGAGTCGCTGCCAGACCGAGCCGCCCGCGCCGCGGGTAGATGCCGCGGGCGGTCCCGTCAGCTCGGGCAGCGAGCTCGCCCCGGCGATTCCGAAGAGGATCTGCGCATCGATGTTCTCAGCGAGACACGGCGCATAGTGATGCAGGCCCCGAGGGCGACAAGCCAGTGCTTCTGCGTCGCCGAGGCCCAGGCCAGCTGCTGCGACCGGCAGCTGGCAGGGCTGTCAGGCCAATGGTGTACACGCCAATCTAGCACCAGCCTTCACATGCCGAGTGGCGCCCTATGGCGATCAACCCCAAGCATGAAGTTTCCGGGGCGCGCGTGAGCGGCCGTTGTCGCAGGGCCCCCGCAAGGCCCGCGCGCGCGGAGAGTCTGGGACAATCATGTGGACAGAACCTCGGTGGTGCGCCCTTCGGCGTCGTTTCCGCACCTGTTGCAGGGGGGCCGATCGCACGGGGGAGCACGGCTTTGCGACCAGCGCCGGCATTGCGGCCTCAGTGGCAAGCCGTGCCCGCCGCAAACGGACCACGCAGAAACGGAAGGGGTCGAGGGCGCGCGCTTGGGGGCGGGTCTCTGCCGAGCTGGCGGATGCGACTGTTCTCCAGGGGTCATGCGGGTCACTGTCTATGCTCATGTTGGGGAGGTGTGTTCTGGAGACAGCCTGGATATCCTTGGGGACCTTGTAAGCAACCTGCGAGGATGCCGAAGGCCGCGGGCGCTTGGGGGAGATTTAAACATGGCGGCCACATGCCCAGAGATCCTCAAGTGGAGTCAGATGCGGTTCGCCAGCATTGCAACGCTTTCTTCTGCAACTTGCTCGTCGGGCGCGGGCGCGAACAGGTGCCTCGATGTCATAGTGGCCTCGCGTGGCGCGACCAACGGCGTCGTTACCGCATCTGCGCTGCACGCGGCGCCGCGCGGGCCAGACGCGCCGCCCATGCCGCGGCGCGCGGGTTCAACCTTCACTCCGGTTGCGGCCCGACCCGCATGGAAGCCGTTTCGTTCAGCCCCGCGTGGCCAAGCGGGCGGAACACCAACGGTCCACCCAGGAGAACATCTGGAGCGAATGGCTGGCCAAGATGGAGAACGGGTTGCGCCGCCATTATGACCTTGTGGACGGCTGCGACGTCTCGCTTCAGGAGGGCGCTCAAGGGTATCAAACCAAGCAGTCTCAGCTGCAGACTCTGCGAAGCCATTTCCCCGATGTCGAAGTCCTGGAGAACCCAGCGAGCCCCCGCGCGCAATGTGTCGGGCATCTGGGGCGGCCCAAATGACGTGCTCTTCTTGGGCGCCCTAGGCTTCAACTATCACGCCATGGTTAACCGATGCCAGCATATCCCGGGAGCCGATCCAGCACTAGTTGGAGGCGCTCAGCACGCGATGGAAGTCGCGCCAGCTGGAGGCCCACAGTTCGCGCGCACTCTTGCCGACGTGACAGCAACGTTGAACGCGCGCTGCGCGGCCGGCGCAGGCCCTTGTAGCGACGGCGGCTGGCTCGGCGAGAGACGCCACGCTCGCGGGGGAAAGCAGGCGCGCCAGTTCACCATGAACACGCCCCCCCCGCCTCGAGGGCCTTCCTCTCCGACGAGGATCTAGCCGCCGAGGGCCGCGTGCAGGAGCGGGGATTCATATTGGAATGGCGCCATATTAAGAATCGCGGCGGCCCCTGGGGCTGCGGCCGGGAGCGCCGACGTACGCCCTCCCTTCCTGGACCGGCCCAAGCAGGCATCAGGTCAGTTCCGCCATGGTGCGGGACTGGGGCGTGGGCGAGGTCAACCCGCGCAGCTGGCTCATGCTCGGCGATGCCCGCCTGCTGCCCCTCATGGACATACTCCTGCTTCGGCAGAGCCAGGCTGAGCTTCCCGCGCCTTGGCCGACGACCAGTCGGCATCGCAGGAAAGTTGGATGAAAGTGGAGCTATGCCGATCGCTCTTACCGCTTAGCCCCACCAGGGTCCGGGCCAGAGTTCGGCAGTAATTTGCGCGAGAGTTGAAAGAAACGTACCAGCTCGGCAGTTTCCAGGGTTAAATCGCGCGAGCATGCAGGATAGAACACAACATCCTGGCATAGGTGGCCAGGCTTTCCATTCTCGAAGCGGCCACTCTGTTCACTGACTTCCACGGTTATACGAGAGGTTGGCGCGCCGAGTCCTGATATCAGAATCTGGAGCAGCTCATTGCCCCTCCGTCTGGTATGTGCAGCATGCATTTTGCACGCGGGCCCCAGGTCATCAGCTTTCAGAGCTCGGCCAGCCGCGCGCTTCGCGCTTCGGGCACCATCCTCGCGGGCTCCGGCCTGGTGTCATTTTGCCGCGATGTTGCTCTACCGCCCATTGCCTTCCGCCCAGCAGAGTCACCCCCATGCGCTCGGGAGAAATGCCACCAATAATGCGCACAGGCAGTGTCTGGGGACCAGGGCAATGGTAGTCATGGAGTTTGTAGAAGTCGGCAGACGGGATACTACCAGGTGGACTTGATGTTGTCAGGAGAGGGAACGCACTGAACCGCCTCCTCCCAGGAACTCACTCAGAACCCTGCCCGCGTCTGAGCCCATCGAGGGTCCAAAAGAAAGCTAGCCGCTACAAACCTTGGCTCCGATGCTACACGCGCGAATGGTAGGCGCGCCGGCGCGCCAGTACCCTTGCCAGCAGTCTTCGGAATTCTTGACGCTTCGCGTATCCCCACCAGCCCATCCAGTAACGATGCCCAGGCGAATGGAGGTGATCAGGGAAGTGAGGGAGCATACAGAGTAACAAAGGGCTGGGGAACCCGTCTTACCCAAGACGGCGAGGATGGAGGAGGAATCGGAGGAGGATGAGGAGGAGAAGGAACTGAAGGAGGAGGAGGGGGAGCGGGAGGAGGGAGGAGGGAGGAGGAGCAATAGGCGGATGAGGAGGAGGAGGAGGAGGAGGAGCAGGACGAGAACGAGGAGGAGGATGAGGAGAATTGCGAGCAGAATGGCCAGAGGCCTCTTGGATGCCTCTCGGAGTCTCTTCGGATGTCTCTTGGGAGCGTCCTGAAGGCCTCTTAGGGCGTCTTGGGAGCGTTTTGGCGGTCCCGGAGGCCTCTTGGGGCGTCTTGGGTGCCTCGGGGAGCCTCTTGGGGACCTCTTGGGGCCATCTTGGGGCCATCTTGGGGCCATCTTGGCGCCTCTTGGGGCCTCCTGGGCGCCTCTTGGGGCCATCTTGGAGGCGATCGATCAAAGAAGAGGGTGGGGTTAATTAGCCCTGCCCCTCTAGATCCTCTAAAATCGCCTCTTGGGCTCATCTTGAGGCGCTCTTGGAGCGCTCTTGGGCGCTCTTGGGGCCGTCTTGAGGCTCTCTTGGGCCCCTCTTGGGGCTATCTTGGGCCCTCTTGGAGCCATCTTGAGGCCTCGGACGGCCATCGGAAGCGAAAAGGCGAGAAAGCAACATTCATAGGTTTTCCTTAGGTTTTTGAAGGATTTTGGCCTCTTGGGGGGTCTCCTTGGAAGTCTCGGAGGCCTCTTGGAGTCGTCTTGGGGCGATCTTGGGGCCTCTTGGAGCATCTGGGGAGCCATCTTGAGGCATCTTGGGCTATCTCGAGACATCTTGGAGGTCATCTTGGCCTCTCCGAGGCCCTCTTGGAGCCGTCTTGGGCCATCTTGGACGCTCCAACGCGTCGCGGAACCCCCCGTCCAGGTCCAGGGGAGGGGGTTAGGGGGAGGGGTAAACCCCTCCCCGAAGGGGAAGGAGGGAAGATGGAAGAGGAAACTCCCTAAACCACCTACGCCCAGAGGGCTGGTGGGAATAAACAGCGCCGAGAGGAGAGAATCGGGCAGCTCTGGCGTGCTGGAGGTAAAGTTCAACATGTAGCGATCAGCGAGCATGCAACTGGAAGGCTTCGGTGACGGGGCCCAGTAGTAGGCAGGCGGACGCCATCATAGTCCCTTGTGTTAAGTCACTCCATACAGACATGAGCGCGGCTTCGGTGGAGTTCAGTTTTTTTCTGCCGTGGGGCAAAAGGTCGATCCCGTGGCTGCCAATCACAGGCAGGCTGTCCAGTGCCGGGCCCAGGCCGCTTGGGGCGGACGGCCCGCGTCGGCCAAATTGCAGCTGTATTTGTCTGGGGCTCAGGCGGCGCCTGAGGGCCATGAGTTCACTCGGCACAAAGTCAGGCCCCCTGCGAACGCTTACGTCATGCCTCTTCGAGTCTTAGGGGCATTGTGTCGATGCGCGGAGGGTGGTCGCGCGTGGCGGCAGGGGGAGTGACCGCCTGGCCATGGCCCCGCTTCAGGTAGATACCCTTCTGCCAGCGGGCGGTGGGAGTTGTATCGGACGCTAACGCGTTGCAGGCCCGCGCCTCTCGAAGGCGCGGGCCAGGCCGATCCATTGGAATTTTCTGAGGGGCCTCGCACATGGAAGACCCACCGAGTTTGGGGGCCAGCACCAGCAAGAAAACCTCAGGCGCGCGGTCTCGCAGCGCCACTGAGCACAGAAGCGTCGGTGTAGACCGTCGCGCGCTCAGTTCCCCCTTGCACGCTTTGCAAGGCGGCGCCAGGGAATTTTGTCCATCGCAGGTTCAAGCGCGACGCCTGGCACGCGAAGCGACAAACAGCAGTCTGCCAGGATGTCTTGCACGCCGACAGCAACGCTGAGAGGTGGCAGCAAGATCTTGGTAAGCTTGCGTCTGGGATCCCCCCCTCGCCCCCGAGTTTGCCCCCCTCCCCCTTCGACCGCAGCCGAGTCAGCATGCGCCGAATCAACAGAACCAGTGATGGGCAGCTCTGCGGCCTCATGTTTGCGGACGGGTCTACCGCTGATCCGATTGTCTCCGTGCGCGCCAAGGCTGGATGGAGGTTGGCCCAGGTCAGTGAACACGGACACTTATGGAGTAGTCCCGCATGAGATGGGCCCCTTGCCAGATCTTTCGCGATGGCGAGAGCTGCGCCAGCTACATGGCGACTGTGGGTTCCTATGCGTTGCCTTCCGGGCCCATGTTTTCTATCGATTGCAGGGCCACGCCCAGTTGTTTGAGTAACCCAGGCATTGCCCAAAGCAGCAGTTGCAGTCGTACCCACATGTGGGCCCGAATCTTCCATGTCTCCGACTACCTGCCACCCCCATCCATCAAAGTCATGGAGCATGCCAGTTGGACAGGTGCCAACGCTGGGCGAACGTCTGCTTTGTACAAGCCCAAGTCGGATCGCGTGGACCGCCCTGCCAAGCTAGGGGCTGCTGGCCACCCTTCTGCACAGCAGGCTAAGCGATCCACACAGTTGTGCTAGTGCGGTGCTCGTCAGGCGTCCCTCGGCAAGAGGCTGTCATGGCCGACCGCAAAGTTCGAGATGACGATGAATTGCCAGGACAGAGCGGTGGCCATCCCCATCGCGCCCTGCTCCGACTGCCTTCTCTGCCCAGGATTCGTGGCGGGGGGGCGGAGGTTTAGTGCCCCAGGAAACCCAAACGAGCTTACTAATCTCTCGCTTGCTGGTCATTGGTTTCGAAGGGCTGGTGGCGATTGGCCAAGTGGCGTCCCTCGCCGTCACGCCAGCACGGTATTGTTTGGTACCACGCGTGGAGGTTACAGTTGGGGTGGCCTCGAAAGCTTCGGCCGTGCATGACCGCGCCGAACCACCACTAAGAACCGCAGGCAGCAATTGAGCAGGGCTGCCCGCGGTCTCTTTCCCGCTTGGTCCCTTCAGCACCGCGGCTGGACACCTAGGGCCAGCAAAGCCGCCACCCCCTTCGACCTGCAGGTCTCGGGGCTGTCCTCTGGAGCCGGTTTGCCCTCTTCGTGCGAAGGGACCGGGGGGGGGGCAAGGCTGGCGTGGGGTTGACGGGGGGAGGGAGCTCGTGATGCGGAGCGGTGGAGACTGGATGTGGCGGCCTCCCGCTGCAGCCGCCGCCTTGGAGAGCTGGGCAAAGCACCCCGGGACGGAGGAGGCGGCCTGGACTCCGCCCGTCTTCCTGCCGTCCGTTGTTTCTGTGTCTGCCGCGTGCGTCGACGATTTCTCTGCCGCGCCGCGTGCTGTTGTTTCTGTTTCTGCCGCGTGCGTCGACGATTTCTGCCGCGCCGCGTGCTGTTGTTTCTGTTTCTGCTTCTGGCCGCGTGTTGCTTTGTTGTCACTTGTCGCCCGTGTGCAGATTCCGCCTCGCGTTGCGTCGCTGTGCCGGTTCGCTCGCGCTGTGCTGGCCGTGCCCCGCCCAGGCCCGTGCCTGCCCAGCGGGCGTCGACGACTCTGCTCGGCCGGGGGAGGTCGAAGCAGCATAGAAGACCAGGGCGAGGAGCGCGAAGGGAAAGACATCACGATGAGGAGACCGATGAGGATGACGATGGACGAAGAGGAGGAGGAGGAGGAGGAGGAGGAGGAGGAGGAGGAGGCGTGACGAGGGGAGGAGGGAGGATGAGCATGATGCAGGCACGGAGGAGGAGGAGGAGGAGGAGGAGGAGGAGGAGGACGGAGGAGCGCGAGGGAACAGAGAGGAGAGGGATGGGAGACAAGTCGCGCGCGCTCGCGCAGTATTTGAGATCACACTATTGTTTCCCATTGCGTTGGTATGTCCTTTATCCACTGACGGGTGTCGTAGAGGACCTGGAGCGCCCCAAAGGATCTGACCGTGTTGTGCACAATTGTCGGGCCTCCTTCCTCTTTCCCCTGTCCTCCTCCGCGGAGCCAGGGGAACTGTGCGCATTGGGGGACAAGGGGCGAATGAGCATGGAGATAAGCAGGAGGAGGCGGATGAGGACGAGGAGGATCGGCGTCAGCTGGAGCCAGAGTGGCCGGATGAACAGTGGGACCAGGGGAAGGCAGGAGAAGAGAGGGTGATGGGGCGACAGGGACGAGTAAGAATTTGGATCCAGAAATGTGGCCCGCGCGGGTGAACGCCATTCCGAGCAGCAGGAGCACAGCGCCGATTCTGAAATGGAGCCAGCTCTGAAGCGGGAGTAACGTTTCGAAACACCGACTAGGTTCCGATATGTACCACAACATATGAAGCAAGAATAATAGTTGAACTGTTGTAAATAATTCGAAGAAATAAACGGGTGGGGTGGGTACTTCCAGGACGTAAGTGGGGGAGGGAAGGCAGGAGTACTAGGAGAGAAGGTAGGAGTACTCACATTGAGTACTTGTGGAGGAACGAGATGTCAATTTCAGAGAGGCAGGATCTGTAGGAGAGCGAAGGGGGGGTCGAGGAGAGAGGAAGAGGAGGTGGAGGACCCAGGACCCCCCCAGCCAGGACCCAGTACTGTTAAACAACACCCGAATCCTCCCCCCCGCTCTTCCCCCGGAGGTCTCCAGAGGTCCCTGGCCTCTCCTGCAGGTCCCCCTGGAGGCCCCCACAGGCCAAAAGGTGCCGAGCGCGTCGAACGTCGCATGGCGCCAACATCGCAGAGGGGATTTCGTTCGGAAAACAATAGGATAGGCCCGGAGTGTTCTGGAGAATTTCGTTCCTGATTTCGAAGTGAATTTCGTGCGGAATTTCAATGAAGATGAAAAGACATCCACGTGAAATTCACTTCGTTTTGCGCTCGCCGTTTCTGGGCTTTGCGTAGACAGAAATCCACACAAAAATCCACTGCAGCACGTCTGCAAGGTCGGTGCAGTGAAACGTCGAATCTACCAACCCTCGTCCCTCCTCATTGCCAGGTATCCGAGCATATGGTTTTGTTCAACCCCGGCGTTTTTCTGAGATGTCAGCCTCTGGGGGCCGTTTTCTGGCCTGGGGCAATCGAAAGTTAGCCCAGGACGGAAGCTGCTCATGGGGAAGGGGTCGGGACCATCGGGGCCGCACATGGAAAGCCACATCGCCCGATGTCTGGGTGCGTTCACCCTACCGGGGCGGCAGATGTCTTGTCTTGCCGAGCAGCCCCCTCGCAGCCCCCGAGCGCTGGGGGTGCGTCGGGATCCCCATGCAGATGAGAGCTCGGCGAGGGCCAGAGGCCAGAGACTCGGGAGGCGCGTCGAGCCCGGGGAGGGGCCCCGGAGGGGCAGGGGAGGGAGCGGGGAGAGGGCAGAGAGGCCCGGATGGGTCGATGTGTGGGCACCACGTCGTCGTTCACCGAGCGCGTATCACTATTCGCAGCGTGCCTACTCGCCAGCGTCCGAAAACAGGCGAAAGCTCGTGCCTTTGCGAGTAGTTGCGTTGCGAGTAGTGGAACACGTCTGTCCAGTCGTTTGGCCGGCCAGGGAGCAAAGAGGAGTTCGGCGAACATGTGCGGTGCACAGACGGTCTAGCGTCCCACAGGCAGGGCAGCTGCTGCGTCCGTACGCCGAGCTCCTCGGCCGGCCAGGCGACTTGGTGTATGCTTCCAGCCCCTCCCGCAGGCGGATGGCGGGAAGGGAGAGAGGCAGACACGGGAGTGCAGAGCAGCAGAGGGGTGGAGCCGGGAGGAGGGACCGGCGAGAGACCACTTGCGAGGAGCGGAAAGAGCGATGGCCGGTTGCACGCAATAGTGATCTTTCGCTGGAGTGTTTTTTTGGTATGGACGTATTGGGGTCCATCGATGGCTGAATGCGATCCGATAGCAGCGGGGTTGCAGGCTCAGGCTTGCCCACCCGCGCCAGCATAAAGCCGCGCCTCACAGATCACGCGCTTGCCCAGGGTCCTTCCTCCTGGCATCGCTCGGACGTGTGGATTTTTCCCGGCGAGGACCATCGAGGAGCATTTGGGGCCATCCTGCGAAAAGTACACGCACGGAGCCGAACACCGCACGGGGAATGGGCGTCCGAGCGATGCCAGTCTTGCGTGCAGCCGAGAAGGGCACCACGGGCTTGCGGGCTGCCCTTGAGCAGCGGCATCAGCAGCAAGCGTGCGCCGCCCGAGGTGCCGCTGATGCTGAGCGCCGCTGCGGCGCTCCCCGCCCAGCCGCGTGCGCGCGCCCGCCATCGCCAGCCTTCTCTCGTCGTTCCGTATCCGCCGCCTCCTACTTCTCCCTGTAGCTCTTCGTCGTCGTCCTCCTCCTCCTCCTCCTTCTCCTCCTCCTCCGCTTCCTCCTCCTCCGCTTCCTCCTCCTCCTCCTCCTCCTCCTCCTCCTCCTCCTCCGCTTGCTCTTCCTCCCCTTGGCTCTTCCTTCTCCTCGTCCTACCGTGATTACGTCGACAACATGTTGCATACCTGTACTGCATTGCTCTTGCCCCCCCCCCTCCCCCCGATCTTAATATTGGGTGCATGGCGAAGATCCCCTGTTCCGCCCGGGGGCTCCCGACAAAATGTTGCACCACCGAGCTGTTTCGACCAGCCCAGACCGAACCCAATATTAAGATCGGAGGGGAGGGGGGGGAAACAAACGATTGATATGACAGCGATGCGATTTATTGTCAGCGCAAGGTGGTGCAACATGTTGTCGATGTGCCGTAGCTGTCGAAGGAGGAGGGGAATGAGGGAGCTTCGCTGGCTCCCGGAGGTGCTCTCGCCTCGAGATGCCTTCCTGCAGCAGCGCTCCGCCGTCCCGAGAGACCGCGGGGTGCCCGAGACAGGCTGGACACGACCCGAAGCCCGCCAGGCGCTCGTCGGCCTCGTCTTCCGCTGGCCATCCGTGGTCCAGCTCAGTCTGCGCGCTGCGCAACCGTGGTGGAGCGAGAACAGCTCGGGGCTCCCCGGCAGGGGGGCAACACCCTTGGCCACGCGCAGCAGGAGGGCAGGGGCAGGGGGGGAGGCTTCTCAGAAGCACCCGTGCCCCTTAGAAGGCGTGGGCCTCGTCTGTGAATGCAAGGCCGGCGCCTCCTAAGGAGCAGCCTACTCCTAAAGAGCCCTCCCCCCTCCGCCTACCCCCCCCCCCCCTGCGCGCCGCCACCATCCGTCCATCGTTCGTCGCCGTCTCTCGGCGCGCACGGCAGCTCGCGCCCGGACAGCTCGTCCCTGCTGTGCGGCGGGTCCGCCTCGCTCGACGTCGGCCCGCCGCCGCTCCGGCGCTTCCGCCGCCCTCTCCCCTCCCGGAGCTTCCGCCCCGTCCTCTGGCCCGAAGCTTGGGCGGCGTCCGGCCGCCGTCTGCCTCTGCCTCTGCCGCCTCGTGCTTCTGCTGCTCGTCCCAAGCAGCAGTGCGCAGCAGCGAATCGATCAGTGGAGGCCTGGACATTCTCGAGCACGCTCCGCCCTCCGCTGCCCGTCCCGCTCCTCGTCACCCTCTCCCTCTCGTCGTCGTCCTCTGTTTCTCCTTCGCCGCCTCGCCGTTCCTCCTCTGCAGCACCGCTCAACGATGCGTTGCCAGCCAAACCTGCAGGGTGGGGCACCTCCGTTTTTCTGTGCACTTCAGCTCTGGTTTCGGCTTGAGCTGCCGGTGCACTGAGCAGCGCACCCGGGCCAGCTCACCCGAGTCGGTTTTCCACCGGCAAGCCTCGCTAATTTCTGCTCGGTCGGGATTGGCTCTGTCCCACGAGGTAGGGTGGTCCACCGGATACCCGCGCCCCCCCCGACGATCCAACCTCCACCTTCTCGTTTTCCTTCTCGTTATCCTCCAGCTCCCCCTCCTGTTCCTCCTCCTCTCATCCTCCTCTTCGTTCTTCGCAATGATACGTTATGCAAACTATCGTATTATCTTCCCTGATTACGTCCAGAAGATGTTCCGCCCTCTCCGCGTGTTGTGTTTACAGCTCCCGATCTCGCGTCGCCCCTCACCGTTGGTCGCCCCCCCACTCCGCCTTTCCCTGGTCCTCCTGCTCCGCCCGCTTCTTCCATTCGAGTCCCCACGACCCACGACTGTGTTCGTCCTCGTCCTCCCCCTCCTTCATAATCTCCCTCCTTTTCCTCTTCTGCTGAGCCCCTCCTTTCGGATTGCGCTCAATACGATGGGGTCTTTTTGGGAGTTCGAGGTCCGCTATGACACGCGTCCGCGGACAGAGAATTATCTATTCAGCGCAATAGGGGCTTGGCGGAGGGGCAGGATGTCAATTATGGCGCGAGCGCGTCTAGCTTACCTCCCACCCTTTCTCCTCTCGCCCTCCTCCCTGCTCCCTCCCTCCTCCCCCCCTCCCCCAAAGTAAAGGCTTTCGGCTCCCACTCTTCCCTGTAGCCAGCTCCAGATATTTCAGTGTTCTCTCCCTCTTCCTTCCCTTCTTCCTCCCTTCCTCCTCCTGTTTTTCCTCCTCCTCCTCCTCCTCCTCCTCCTCCTCCTCCGCCTCCTCCTCCTCCTCCTCCTCCTCCTCCTCCTCCTCCTCCTCTCCCCTTCCTCCCCCTCGCCGGCTGCGGATGCTGCGGCCGCGGCCCCCCCCCACCCCCACCCCCAGGACGCGCGGAGGATCCAGTGCGACACCACGCAGGCCCCCTGCGGCTCTCCCCCCGCCTGGCAGATTCAAGAGGCTTGCGCCGTTCCGCCGACCCCCGGCAGAGGTAAGGAGTCAGCGTTTGGCACTTCATGTCACTAGCTTAAAACAGACGCCCAATCCCAAACACGCGAGGGCCAAAACAGAACGCAGGCTCCTCGAGACTTCGGGGAGGGAGATTCTGGGGCCCAGGGTTTTACCAGGGTGACAACGACGAACGCAAAACATGCCCCGAAATCTTTGGCCGATCTTCGAATCCTCGGTGAATCCGCGATTTTGGGGTTGGGGATGTGTTTTCCCTTGGTCATCATTTGAGCCTGCCTACGGCGAATCACCGCCGCCCCCTGCCTTTTGGAAGCGCCTGTGTGGCCGAACGTTGAGACCAGAGCTGCCAAGCTATCGGACCATGTATTCCCCGAATGTGTTTGGAAAGCCTTCGGGGAACACGTGGGCATCTTGAAGGTCATCTTGGCCGTCTGGAGGCCATCTTGACCCTTTCGGGCCTTCTTGAAGGACGTCTTGGAGGGCTATTGGGCCGTCTTGGAGGCTATCTTGAGCGACGTGGGGGCCTCTTGGGCCGTCTTGGGGGCCTCTTGGGGCTGTCTTAGGCCTCCTGGGCGATCTTTGGGGGCACTTGGGCCGTCTCGGGCCGTCGGAAGGCCGAAACAACGCAAATGCCACAATCCTTCAACAACTCATGGGAAGTGAATGGTTTGGGCCTTTTCGGGCCTTCCTGGAGGTCCTGTTGGAGGCCTCTTGGACCGTCTTGGGCCATCTTAGGGTCATCTTCGGCCGTCTTGGTGGGCTCCTGGGCCGACTTGGGGCCCTCTTGGAATGCTCCAGGGCCGTCTTGGAGGCCATCTTGGGCGTCTTAAAGGCCTCCTGGGCCTATCCTTCAAACACCTGACAGGAAAATCAATGTTTTTGGCCTTTTCTAGCCTTCCTGGAGGCCCTCTTGGAGGCCTCTTGGGCCGTCTTGGGCCAGCTTCGAGCCAACTTTGGCCATCTTGGTGGGCTCCTGGCCCGTCTGACGCCGTCGGAAGCCGTTTCGGGGGCCTCTCTGGGCCGACTTGGGGCCCTCTTGGGGTGCTCCAGGGCCGTCTTTGAGGCCATCTTGGGCGTCTTGGAGGCCTCTTGGGTCGTATTTGTGCCCTCTTGGGGCCGTCTTGGGGGCCTCTTGGGCAGTCCTGAGGCCATCTTGGAGGCCTCTTGGGCGATCTGGGGGGGATCTTGGGGGCCGTCTTGGATCGTCGGAAAGCCGAAAAGGAGCAAATGCCCAAATCCTTCCAAAACCTATAGAAATTGAATGATTTCGGACTCTTCGGGTCCTCCTGGAGGACCTCTTGGAGGCCTCTTGGGTCGTGTTGGGCCGTTTGGAGGCTTCTTGGGCGAACTTGGAGGTACCTTGGACTCTCTTGGGCTGTCTTGGAGGCCGTCTTGGACCATCTTGGGCGAACTTGGAGCCCATCTTGGACCATCTTGGAGGCCATCTTGGGCCAACGTGGCCATCTTGGAGGCCATCTTGAGCCGCCTTGGCGGATTTTTTCCAGAATTGGGGATTTTCCGGGTGGCCGGCGGGACGGGCCAAAGCCCCAGGGGGAGTTTTTTGGAACAAGAACCAACACCAAAGCCGAGAGGATTTGGCACGCCAGGCACCCCTGCGATGAATCGACAGGGGGCGGCGGATCGAAGCGTGTGTTGGCAGTCCGGTGGCCTTCGGCCCATCCCGCCACCAGGCCCGGCCTGTGCGTCAGAGGCTTTTGGGCGCCAGCAGGTTTGTTTCTCTCAGGAGGAAAAAAACACACACAGACAAATAATCGTCGGTCATGGGAAAATGTGGGAATTGAGCGGGAAGACAAAAACCCAGAAACTATAGGAAAAGATGGGGAATAGTTGTATTTGTGTGTATTCATTTGTGCGTCCCAGGGCCCCTTCATTCTCTGGAGGAGCCACACCGCGCAGAGGCCCCCCGTGGCTGCCCGCCCGGCAGTTTGCTCGACACGTGGGCGCCTCCGCGCAGGCGCCGGGAACCGCTGGAGAAGGCAGCCATGTTCAGGCCAGCCACAACTGGGGGAGCTGTGGTCCTTACCCCCCTGGGGGACCCATCGATTTCGACGCGCCTCTCGAGAGATTGTCGATTCGATGGGTTCCTTCTCCCCCCCCCTCCTTACGATCGAACTGGGTACGGAAGGAATGTGGATGAAGTCCGACAGCAGTTCCTATCTACTTTGAACAGGGTTAGCTGTCGTCGTGTCCGTTTGAGAGAGAACATCGCCCGATCAACAGCGGCCGATGTCGATTTGGAACAGCCTTGACTGGTTGGCATCGTAGTCACTTTGTTGCACCCATGCCAGGCGTGCGACCCCCCGTTGCTTTCTCCCTTTTTTCATCCGCTCAAGCTGAGGAGGAATTACCTGGGATGGGAAAGGGGCATATGCTCAGGCCATAGAGTCAAAGAGTCTCATCTGCTCTTACCCTGTCCCAGTGTGAGTCCGTCCGGCTCTCGTCGAAGTTCCCCGACGAGTTTCGATGGCCAGCCGAAGTCGCGAGGGGGAGATGCTAGGCTATCTCGAGGTCCACGTTGTCAAGTGGAAATTCATGTTCCATATGTCTTGACGCTTCGCCTGCCATGCTCTCACATATTGCGTCCTGATCGGAAAGGGTTTTACAACCCCGGTGCCAGTGAGCACGGATGGATGAGGTGAAGTGGAAAGGTCAGTTTTGTACAAGTTTGGAAGTATTCCGATCGTCATATGAATGCCAATTTTGCGAAGCATGCCAGGAGAGAGTGTCAGCAGAAGTGGCGTGCCTTTCCACAGAGGAGGGTCCGCCGTTCAGACGGAGCATCGACCCTTGCATCAGGTGGAGGCTTCAATCGATGCATTACGCATTACACATGATGTTGCCGCGCTTGCTGTGCGGTGTGGGTGCTGTTCTAGTGGGTTAGTTTATCCCTTGAGCGCGAAAGTTCTGGTAGGGCGAGCCCGTACCTCGAGATAGAGATTGTCGTAATCGTGTCATGTGGTAGGGAAAGGTTTGAGCAGGAGTGTCAGCTTGAAGTGCATTGGGCTTGCCCTGGCTCTCCTGCACATTGTATATGAAGGCCTCCGATCGTTGGAGCACATTTCACCATTTGTCCATGATTCTGTGTGCGCGACCCCTCTGCACAGATCAAGTTCGCGAACACGGTGATGTTCAACACGAAGGCGGCGACGGGGCAGCGTGCGTGTGTATGGCACTGGCTCGGAGTGAGAATGAGGCGGTGTTGCTCGCCCCAGCGGCGCGCCCAGGGGGACTGGGGAGGGGGCGGGCCTTCTTAGCAGCCTCAGAAGGCCTCCAGCCTTCTGAGGAGCTCCCGAAGCTGAAGTCGGGCAGGTCCCTCTGCAGGAGGAATGTTCAAGAATAGTTGAAAAGTAGCCTGGGGACTATTTTGCGAGCTGTTTTGTCGCGATGCGTTGACTACTTGTTCATCTTCTTCCAGACTCCGCCTGCAGAAGGACATGCCTGACCTAACCCTCAGCCTTCTCCGAAGACACGGGGCCTCTCGGAAGGCCTCAGGGCTTCTGAGGCGCCCCGCGGCAGGGAAAGGCCCGCCCCCTCGCTGCGGTCCCCCCTGGACACACCGCCGACTGCCGCTGCACGGGCCGTCCGCGGTCCGAAAGGGGAGGGGGACGGGGAGGAGAACGAGCAGCACGAGGACGAAGTGTTGGCATTCGAATGCGTGCGGGGCTACGCCCGATTTATGCTCGCCGTTTGGGCTGGCGGCGGGGCCCATGCGGCGAGCTGTCTTGCAGGGCTGGACCTAAACGGTATGTTTGGCGATTTCGTGGGCCGTTGCCGTTTCTATTTCGTTTTGTGGGAAAGGCGGAGTCGAGACAACAGCGAGGGAAAACGAGAACGAGACGAACACGGAAAACACCGTTTAGGTTCAGCCTTGCTGTCTGGTGACGGTTTCACTGCGCCACGGGCCGCCCGCGGTCCCAGGTCTTTGCGTTCTGGACGGCGCTCGCCGGTGCCGTCCTGCGGGGCTTACAAACTCGCAGGCGCAGTGTCCCACATTGGGTGGGCGCCACGCGGACCCCCCCCAACGCAGACGGGGTCGTCTCGAGGAGTCCGCGTGGTCGTTCAGGGCCCTCCTCGGGACGAAGCCGCTCAGGACGTCACAGATGAGGCAGTCAAGGGGTGTTTGTCGTGATTTCTGAGATGACCTCGTCGTTTCTAAGGTGGGCTGCATCTTGCCTAAACTTCTTGATACATGGGTAACATGTGCCCTAAGTTGTTTGGGAGGCTTACATAACTCCGCTAAGTGAGTGGAGCCCACGCAAAGCAGATTTGTATCCCCCTTAAACCGCTTGGGGCACCTGTACCGCACTTAGATGCGAGGCCAAGCCAGCCAGATGTAACCCATCATGGCATCCCTTTCTTTTACCCCCAATCCCCGTAGCATTCATTGCTCGACATGAACGGCGTGTTGGCGATCTCGTGGGCCGGTTTCGTTTCGATGCCCTTCTGCCGCGAAGGCGGATCGAAGACACACGCGAGGGACAAGGAAACCAAAACGAGAACGAACCACGCTGCTCAGGTCGACCCCTGCCCCTCAGCGACCGCCGCGGTGATCTCACTTCGTCGTGCCGTGACGCCCCCACGGGCGTCGTCGCCGTGCATCCAGCCCGCGGTCGACCGGGGGCGCCTCCGTGGTCGGCTGTGGCTCCCCTGCTCGTGCAGTCGGACCGCTGAAGGAGGAACCCATTTCGAGGGGCTCAGCGTTCCACTATTTTGTTCTGCAGTCTGTCTCAGGTGTTCCTGAGTTCACGATGGGAAGTCGAAGTGTAACTCATGGAAAAGGGGGGCCCCTTCCTCATTTAGGGTTCCTGATGACAGCGTTTCGCCCGTGGCTCTACCTCCCCCCCCCCCCCCCCGCGAGTCCCAGAGGAGGAACAGCTACCCATACCGCTACCCTCGCCTCGTTGTCGCCTTTTCGGGCCGCCTGGGAGGCCCTCGTCGCCACCGCTGGATTCGCCTCGAAATCCTGGTCAGAACGCATCCCGGGGGTATGGGGGGTAGCAGTATTGGTGCCTTTTGCCTTCTCCCGCCCCCCACCCCCCCGGCGGGTCGCCGGTGCGATCCACGCGCGCTGGAGTCGCGCCCGGTTCGCCTCGGGAGTGGAGGGCCCCCTGCTAGGATGCAATTGTTGAGAGGTTACAGTCAGAATCGGCGCTTGTATATACCTGTTCCAGCACTGGCCTGATCTTGGCCAATCCCGCTCTATTCGTCCTACTCCGTCTTTTAACTCCAACATAATCCCCCCCAGTGCAGCTTACTCCTGGGCTTCATCCGGCCCACGTAGTCCGGCTCAATGGCATTTTTATCGGGTTCCTTCGTTTTGAATCTTTCTGACACAAACGGGCCGTAGACTGCCACGCCCTACACTCTCTGGCCCTGGAATCCTGGGCTCCAGACTCCTGGTCCCTGGCCCCAGACTCCTGAACCCTGAGCCCCGAGATTCCTGGGCCGTGGACTCCTGGGCCACAGGCTCCAGGGCCCAGGATGCCCAGGCTTCCTCTCCGTTGCCAAGGAGTCCTTGGCCATGGACCCCGGGGCCGAGGACTCCGGGGCCCTGGGCTCCTGGGCCCGAGGCTCCCGGGCCCAGAGCTCCTGTGTGCTGGCCCCGGACTCCAGGGCAGAGTATAGTCGGGGGCTCCACGGTCCAGGGCCCGAGGCTCCACGGCCGTAGAGTCCCGGGCCCGCGACTCCTGGGCCGTGGACCTCGGGGCTCGACTCCTGAGTCGGCCCAGAATTCCTTGACCTCAGGCGCGGGCCCCAGGGGGCTCCTGGTGTCCAGATTCCGTGGCCGGAGACACGAGAGACGTATTAGATTTCATCTCCCAGGATTTGAGGGCCCAGGGCTATCGCGCCGAAAACTCCACGGGCCTCGACTCCGGGGCCCCGCACTCCTGAGCCCTGGACTCCACTTGGCATCGCTCGGACGTGTGCTTTGTTTCTCTCGGCGAGGACAATCGAGGAGCATCCTGGGCCATCGAGGAAAAAAACACGCACAACACCGAAAAATGCACGGGGGATGGACGTCCGAGCGATGGTAAGTCCAGGGCCCAGGTCTCGTGGTCCCTAGACACCAGGGCCCAGGTCGCAGGTCTCCGGGGCCACGCGCTCCAGGACCCAGGGCACTCGTGCTCAAGATTCCAGGGCTCAGGACTCTTGTTGCCTAGTCGCTGGGGCCTCATACTTTAGGACCCTCGACACCATGGCCCAGCGCGCTTGGGTTTTAGACTCTCCAGGGTCGAGGCTCATGTGCCCTGGACGCCATGGCCCCCATGGCCCGAGGCTCTTCAGGCTTAGATCAGAGGGCACAGGGCTCGGAGGCCCTCCACTTCGGGGCCCAGGACTTCTTCCTCCAGAACCGAAGGCTCCAGGACTCGCGACTCCCGGGTCCAGGGCCCCACGAGACCCGAGCTCCCGGGGCCCCTGGGCGCACGGGCCCTCAGCTCCAGAGCCCAGGAGTCGGGCCCCAGGCTCAAAGGCACAGCTCTCCTGTGCCCGAGACTCTGGGGCCCGTCGACTCCTGGTCCCGAGACTCCACGGCCAGAGGCGAACGGGCTGCCGACTTCAGGGTATCTGCCTCCAGGCGCCAGGACTCCTGGGCCCAGGGATGCAGGGGCCCCGGCTTCCACTGCCGAAAGACTCGTGGGCCGCAGACACTCCAGGGCATTTGTCGCCTCGGTCTCACTACTCAACCTTCCCCGCGGCCCCATGGGCCCTTGCCCCTGCCCCCACATCAGCCCCGCCACGTTGTCCCCGGCCTCGGCCTTGCAGTCCTGGCCGTTGCCTCAGCCTGGGCCCCAGCCTATGCCGCGGCCCCGGCCGTGGTATTCGGGCATCCGTTGTTTGTGTTCGTTTCGTGGTTTTTGTTTGTTTGGCACCGGCCCACAGGATCTTGCTTCCCGCCCTATAGCCCAGCCCTCAGCTGCAACCGCGGGCCGGGTTAGTTGTTCGTTGTGTTGTCGCCATACGCAACCCCAAAAGACCTCGACACCTCGCTGGGGCCAGAGGCCCTATGTTCGTTTGTTCTCGCACAGGCCTCAAACGGGACCTCGCCCCTAGCCCTGGCCCTGCAGCCCTTGCCGCAGCCCTGGTTCGTCTTTCGTTCCAGTGTTTCGTTTGTTCCCGCGCGAACCTCAAACGGGACCCCGCCCCTCGCCGTAGCCCTGGCCTGCCCTCGCCGCAGCCCTGGTTAGTTGTTTCGTTTCGTGCTTTGTTTGTTTTCGCAAAATGCTCAAACCAGACTTCGCACCTCGCTGTAGCGCTGGCCTTGTAGCCCTCACCGCAGCCCTGCATTGTTCCTTGTTTCGTTGTCTGTTTTGTGTTGTCTGCTGTTTTCCCCCCTCCGTTTGTTTTCGCACAAGCCTCAAGCAGGACCTCGCTCCTGGCGTTCGCCCTGGCCTCGTAGCCCTCGCCGCAGCCCGGGTTCGTTTTTCGTTTCCGTTCTTCGTGTGTGCGTGTGTTGTTTTGTCGTTTTGCTTGCGCCAAGCCCAAGCCAGAACCTCGCCCCTCGCGTTCGCCCTGGCCCCAAACCCCAGCCGATGCAGCCCTGGCCCCAGCCATCGTTCCATGTCTTCGTTTCATGCTTCTTTTTGTTTCCAACGAGGTCTGCGAAGGCATCCTGGGCTGAATTGGGCGAGTCCAGCTCAGTGACCGTTCGATGGGGCTTCATAGCGTATAACCGTCCTTCCGAAAACCTCCCAGAAGACGCTCTTTCACTCGCAGATTGGCGGTGCGCCCTTGAAGGGGTGCTTCTCCGCAGCGACGGGCCCTAAGTCGGCGGCGGCCTGAGCAGGGAACGCTGGTTGGGGGGCCTTCTCAGAAAGGCTCAGAAGGCTTCTGGCCTTCTGAGGTGTTTTCTTAACCCTCTCCGACGACATCATTGATTTTTCATAAAGCCGGAGGGGTTCTGAGAAGCCAAGCCGCCTGCCGAGAAGGCTTGCCCCCTCAATGATTCTGGTCTTGGACATCAGCGCGTGTGCAGAGCAGCATGCGTGAACCCAGCGCGGCCCTCTTGTGAGGCCTCCGGGGCAAGCGGCTGGGGAGGCGGGGAAGCGCTGCTGCAAACAACACTTCTCTCCCGTTCGTGTTGAACTGTGTAAGCATTTACACATGGTTCATTTCACATTCTTCGAAAACTCCTCGATTTTTTGGGGGGCCAAGACCCTTTCATTTCTAATTGGTCTGTCCTGGGCCTCTTCCTGGCCACTAGGGGGCCAGTAACAATTAGAAACGAGCACAATTAGAAATGAGCACGATTAGAAATGAACGACGTGTATCTTACCAGAAACTGCATTCAGACCGATCTTCACATGATGCTCGAGGCAACGACGATGTGAGCAATCGCGTCCACCACTGGATTGCCTAGACGATGCTGCAACAGGCTGGGGGCGGACTCCCCCCCGGGGTGCGCTGCCAACCCAGACATCCGACATCATGATTGTTCATGACGTCGACCCCCAAAGTTCTCGACCCATTCCCCATGACAGGCTTTTCATTCTGAGTTGATGGTCCCGAAGCCCGGGGGCCGAAAGTTGCGAATAGCCTCCCGCCGTGATCGTTTCATGACCCGAGGGGGTCTGGAAAGTGAGCCCCTCTCCCACGCAGCGTGGCGCAGGTGCACCGCTTCACCGTGCGCAACCTGTCCTGCATCTCCGTGCCCTTCCAGTGGCACGTCGAGGCGGGGCCCCGCTTGCAGGGGCGCCGCAGCCCTTGCCGCCACTGCTCGGCTGCTTGACCACCTGGGTGGTGGCTTGTGGTTGGACGTGCGGTTGGGGGGGGAAGGATAGCGTGCAGTGATGGGCCACCCTTCCACCACCGCTACCAGCAGTAGGACGGGGGAGAAGGGAGGGTGGGGACGCCCCCCTCCCTCCTACTCTCCTCCTCCTCCTCCTCCTCCTCCTCCTCCTCCTCCTCCTCCTCCTCCTCCTCCTCCTCCTCCTTCCTCTCCTCCCTATGGCAAGTAGTGGTGGTGGGAAGTCGGTCTATCATGCAATGTGGCGCCGCCGGTCCGCTCCCTGCACGCCATCCCCCTCCCTTGGGGGGACAGCGTGCACCGCAAAGGCCGCGGCAGATGAGCAGCTTGCACAGCAGGGGCCCTCGCGGGGGGCCCCTTTACGGTGGCACGTCAGGGTACTCCGGATTTCGTAATAAAGGGAGGGGGGTCTCATTTCGGGGGGGGGTCTCTTCCAGGCTATCTTGGAGGGCCTGGGGGGGTCTGGGGACGATGTTTTGGAGGGTTCTCCCACGGGGGGGGGTCTGAAATGGCTTGTCTTGGAGGGTCCAGACCCCCCCCCCTTTTATTACGAAATCTGGAGTACACGGACAGGGGCCCCGGGCGACGGACCAGTTTTTGTTCCACCGTTCTTCGCCCGCAAGCGCGTGGCGCAGAACCTGCGTAGCATCGGCGACGTCAGGACGGAGATGCTCAGGCTGCAGGACGCGCCGCATCGGCGATGCATCGGCGATGCGGCGCGACCATCCGACCGGCTTCGGCCCCACTTGGGAGGCCTAGAGCGGTGCTTCAGAGAGCCGGATGGAAGTTGCCCCCGCCACCCTTGGATGGAGGCGACGTTGCAACACAGTGAAGGTTTCTCACACAAGTTCCTTATCCCTCCGTCGCCGACGACCACGCAACTTTCTAGATTCATCCCCCTCCTCGTCCACCTCCTGGTGATCCCCGTCCCCATGCTGCCCCTCCTTCTTGGTCTTACCATGTCCCTCCTCCTGCCAATCTGCCTCCTCGTCGTCGTCGTCATCCTGTTCCTTCTCCCATCCCCTCATCATCCTGCTCCTGCTGCTGCTCCCCCTTCTCCTGCTCCTCATCCTACTTTTCCTCTTCCTCCTCTTCGTTTACCCCTTTTCATCACCCTCTTTCCCTACTTCGTTTTCCCCCCAACCATCCTGTGGTGTTGGGTCCTCGTGTTGAAGAGACAGTGCTCCGCGTCACTCCTCCCGCTGCCCCCTCCCCTATCTCCCCCTCCTTGCCTCTGCTCTCCGCATGTCCACTATTTCGGCACATCCCTCGCACGTGTTCGTGACCCCATAGGGAGCTCCACCGAAGGCTCCAGTGGCACCGTTCGCATGCGTCAGCGCCACCCATAACAGCGTTTCGTGGCCCACCATAAAGAGCTCCACCGAAGGCTCCAGTGCCAAGGTCCGCGTGCGTCAACGCCACCCATGGCAGCGTTTAGTGGCCCCATAGGAAGCTCCACTGAAGGTTCCAGTGGCAGGGTCCGCATGCGTCAACGCCACCCATGACAGCGCCTCGTGGCCCCATAGTGAGCTCCACCGAAGGCTCCAGTGGCATCGCTCGCATGCGTCAACGCCACCCATGACAGCGCTTCGTGGCTCCACCGAAGGCTCCAGTGGCAGGGGTCGCATGCGCCAGCGCCACCCATGCAGGCACACCCCTCACACGGTTCCTGGCCCCACAGGGAGCCCCACCGAAGGCTCCAGTGGCAGGGGTCGCATGCGTCAGCGCCACCCAGGACAGCGTTTCGTGGCCCCACAGGGAGCTCTACCGAAGGCTCCAGAGGCAGGGTCCGCATGCGTCAACGCAACCAAGGACAGCGTTTCGTGGCCCTAGAGGGAGCTCCATCGAAGGCCCCAGTGGCACGGTTCGCATGCGTCTCCCCCACCCATGACAGCGTTTCGTGGCCCCATAGGGAACTCCACCGAAGGCCCCAAGTTCGCATGCGTCTCCCCCACAGCGTTCCGTGGCCCCACAGGGAGCGCCGCCGAACGCCCCAGTGGCGCCGTTCGTATGCGTCTCAGCGAAACGGGTACCCACAATGCGGTACTCGCAATTGCATATGGTTGGGTCCTTCGTCAGGCTAGTTCTGTTCCTCTTCCATCCCATCATTCCCTTAATTTTTCACTTCCAATCCACATCCTTGTAACCTCTCCACCAAGATGCCAGCAATCCCCAAGTCTTAGCGACCCACCTCTACTCCTAAATATTCATGTGTGAGTTCATTGTAGGCATTGCGTCGCAATCCACCAGACCCCCGCGCAGGGCCAGGCACTGAACGACGTTCACGTATGTCTGTCTGTGTGTATTCCGATGCTCGTCTGTGTATGGTTTGCTGCGTGATTACCCAAACATATATGCATATATATAATTATGTATACATAGATATGTATTTATGCATGCATGTATGTGTGTACGTATGTAAGTT